CTTGTAGTATTTACGTTGCTTGTGTGTGTGTATTGTCCTACCTTGTAGTATATACATTGCTGGTGGGTGTATTGTCCTACCTTGTAGTATATACATTGCTGGTGGGTGTATTGTCCTACCATGTATTATATACATTGCTTGTGTGTGTATTGTCCTACCTTGTAGTATATACATTGCTGGTGGGTGTATCGTCCTACCTTGTAGTATATACATTGCTGGTGGGTGTATTGTCCTACCTTGTAGTATATACATTGCTGGTGGGTGTATTGTCCTACCTTGTAGTATATACATTGCTGGTGGGTGTATTGTCCTACCTTGTAGTATATACATTGCTGGTGGGTGTATTGTCCTACCTTGTAGTATATACATTGCTGGTGGGTGTATTGTCCCACCTTGTAGTATATACATTGCTGGTGGGTGTATTGTCCTACCTTCTAGTATATACATTGCTGGTGGGTGTATTGTCCTACCTTGTAGTATATACATTGCTGGTGGGTGTATTGTCCTACCTTGTAGTATATACATTGCTGATGGGTGTATTGTCCTACCATGTAGTATATACATTGCTGGTGTGTGTATTGTCCTACCTTGTAGTATATACATTGCTGGTGGGTGTATTGTTCTACCTTGAAGTATATACATTGCTGGTGGGTGTATTGTCCTACCTTGTAGTATATACATTGCTGGTGGGTGTATTGTCCTACATTGTAGTATATACATTGCTGGTGGGTGTATTGTCCTACCTTGTAGTATATACATTGCTGGTGTGTGTATTGTCCCACCTTGTAGTATATCCATTGTTGGTGTGAGTATTGTCCTACCTTGTAGTATATACATTGCTGGTGGGTGTATTGTCCCACCTTGTAGTATATACATTGCTGGTGGTTGTATTGTCCTACCTTGTAGTATATATACATTGCTGGTGGGTGTATTGTCCTACCTTGTAGTATATACATTGCTGGTGGGTGTATTGCCCTACCTTGTAGTATATACATTGCTGGTTGGTGTATTGCCCTACCTTGTAGTATATACATTGCTGGTAGGTGTATTGTCCTACCTTGTAGTATATACGTTGCTGGTGGGTGTATCGTCCAACCTTGTAGTTTATAAATTGCTGGTGGGTGTATCGTCCTACCTTGAAGTATATACATTGCTGGTGTGTGTATTGTCCTACCTTGTAGTAGATACATTGCTGGTGTGTGTATTGTCCTACCTTGTAGTATATACATTGCTGGTGTGTGTATTGTCCCACCTTGTAGTATATACATTGCTGGTGGGTGTATTGTCCTACCTTGTAGTATTTACGTTGCTTGTGTGTGTGTATTGTCCTACCTTGTAGTATATACATTGCTGGTGTGTGTATTGTCCTACCTTGTAGTATATACATTGCTGGTGGGTGTATTGTCCTACCTTGTAGTATATACATTGCTGGTGGGTGTATTGTCCTACCTTGTAGTATATACATTGCTGGTGGGTGTATTGTCCTACCTTGTAGTATATACATTGCTGGTGGGTGAATTGTCCTACCTTGTGGTATATACATTGCTGGTGTGTGTATTGTCCTACCTTGTAGTATATACATTGCTGGTGGTTGTATTGTCCTACCTTGTAGTATATACATTGCTGGTGGGTGTATTGTCCTACCTTGTAGTATATACATTGCTGCTGTGTGTATTGTCCCACCTTGTAGTATATACATTGCTGCTGTGTGTATTGTCCTACCTTGTAGTATATACATTGCTGGTGTGTGTATTGTCCTACCTTGTAGTATATACATTGCTGGTGGGTGAATTGTCCTACCTTGAAGTATATACATTGCTGCTGTGTGTATTGTCCTACCTTGTAGTATATACATTGCTGCTGTGTGTATTGTCCTACCTTGTAGTATATACATTGCTGGTGGGTGTATTGTCCTACCTTGTAGTATATACATTGCTGGTGGGTGTATTGTCCCACCTTGTAGTATATACATTGCTGGTAGGTGTATTGTCCTACCTTGTAGAATATACATTGCTGGTGGGTGTGTTGTCCTACCTTGTAGTATATACATTGCTGGTGTGTGTATTGTCCTACCTTGTAGTATATACATTGTTGGTGTGAGTATTGTCCTACCTTGTAGTATATACATTGCTGGTGGGTGTATTGTCCTACCTTGTAGTATATAAACATTGCTGGTGTGTGTATTGTCCTACCTTGTAGTATATACATTGCTTGTGGGTGTATTGCCCTACCTTGTAGTATATACATTGCTGGTGGGTGTATTGTCCTCCCTTGAAGTATATACATTGCTTGTGGTTGTATTGTCCTACCTTGTAGTATATACATTGCTGGTGGGTGTATTGTCCTACCTTGTAGTATATACATTGCTGCTGGATGTGTTGTCCTACCTTGTTGTATATACATTGCTGGTGGGTGTATCGTCCTACCTTGAAGTATATACATTGCTGGTGGGTGTATTGTCCTACCTTGTAGTATATACATTGCTGGTGGGTGTATTGTCCCACCTTTATAGTATATACATTGCTGCTGTGTGTATTGTCCTACCTTGTAGTATATACATTGCTGGTGGGTGTATTGTCCTACCTTGTAGTATATACATTGCTGGTGGGTGTATTGTCCTACCTTGTAGTATATACATTGCTGGTGGGTGTATTGTCCTACCTTGTAGTATATACATTGCTGGTGGTTGTATTGTCCTACCTTGTAGTATATACATTGCTGGTGGGTGTATTGTCCTACCTTGTAGTATATACATTTCTGCTGTGTGTATTGTCCTACCTTGTAGTATATACATTGCTGGTGGGTGTATCGTCCTACCTTGAGGTATATACATTGCTGCTGTGTGTATTGTCCTACCTTGTAGTATATACATTGCTGCTGTGTGTATTGTCCTACCTTGTAGTATATACATTGCTGGTGGGTGTATTGTCCTACCTTGTAGTATATACATTGCTGGTGGATGTGTTGTCCTACCTTGTAGTATATACATTGCTGGTGGGTGTATTGTCCTACCTTGTAGTATATACATTGCTGGTGGGTGTATCGTCCTACCTTGAAGTATATACATTGCTGGTGGGTGTATCGTCCTATCTTGAAGTATATACATTGCTGGTGGGTATATTGTCCTACCTTGTAGTATATACATTGCTGGTGTGAGTATTGTCCTACCTTGTAGTATATACATTGCTGGTGTGAGTATTGTCCTACCTTGTAGTATATACATTGCTGGTGGGTGTATTGTCCTACCTTGTAGTATATACATTGCTGCTGTGTGTATTGTCCTACCTTGTAGTATATACATTGCTGGTGGGTGTATTGCCCTACCTTGTAGTATATACATTGCTGCTGGATGTGTTGTCCTACCTTGTTGTATATACATTGCTGGTGGGTGTATCGTCCTACATTGAAGTATATACATTGCTGGTGGGTGTATTGTCCTACCTTGTTGTATATACATTGCTGCTGGATGTGTTGTCCTACCTTGTGGTATATACATTGCTGGTGTGTGTATTGTCCTACCTTGTAGTATATACATTGCTGGTGTGTGTATTGTCCTACCTTGTAGTATATACATTGCTGGTGTGTGTATTGTCCTACCTTGTACTATATACATTGCTGGTGGATGTGTTGTCCTACCTTGTAGTATATACATTGCTGGTGTGTGTATTGTCCTACCTTGTAGTATATACATTGCTGGTGTGTGTATTGTCCTACCTTGTAGTATATACATTGCTGGTGTGTGTATTGTCCTACCTTGTACTATATACATTGCTGGTGGATGTGTTGTCCTACCTTGTAGTATATACATTGCTGGTGTGTGTATTGTCCTACCTTGTAGTATATACATTGCTGGTGGATGTGTTGTCCTACCTTGTAGTATATACATTGCTGGTGTGTGTATTGTCCTACCTTGTAGTATATACATTGCTGGTGGATGTGTTGTCCTACCTTGTAGTATATACATTGCTGGTGGGTGTATCGTCCTACCTTGAAGTATATACATTGCTGGTGGGTGTATTGTCCTACCTTGTAGTATATACATTGCTGGTGGATGTGTTGTCCTACCGTGTAGTATATACATTGCTGGTGGGTGTATTGTCCTACCTTGTACTATATACATTGCTGGTGGATGTGTTGTCCTACCTTGTACTATATACATTGCTGGTGGATGTGTTGTCCTACCTTGTAGTATATACATTGCTGGTGTGTGTATTGTCCTACCTTGTAGTATATACATTGCTGGTGGATGTGTTGTCCTACCTTGTAGTATATACATTGCTGGTGGATGTGTTGTCCTACTTTGAAGTATATACATTGCTGGTGGATGTGTTGTCCTACCTTCTAGTAACAGCCGGCTAACCGTGGTGATAATATGTGGCCTTACGGTGTAGCATCATTGAAAGTGATGTTACTTTTGCCTTCGCATTTTACCTTATTTCAGTCACAGCACGGTGGCCATTTTATAATTATTGCGCAAAGGCAGCGTGACCTGGCAGTTAGTGAAACCAGAGTGCTCGGCTGAGCTTTTGAAAGGATTTGGAAACTTTCCACAAGTGTGACGCCTTAGACAGATCTTGTGAACAATGAGTGAGTTGGGTTTAATAGGCTTTGAATAGTATTCCAGTTATATCACGGCGTGTCAGCTGAATGTGGGAGGAAAGCCCGAAGTGACGTTTTAGACGTTTACCACCTTGGTAGAACCCACGAGCATAGTGTTGACAAACATAGGATCACACGATTACAACCATACTTCTCCACGATAGCCATCAAGCGTTCATTCCAATGAACAAACGAAGCTTACATGATCGTCTCTGAGTTTAAGCATTAGAAGAAAAACCAATTAAAAACTGAGAAATATGTAACACAAAGGATGTCTTTGACTATATGTTATTCTTACCATTTCTGTGCAGAGGAAATTCCAGTGTAAACTATGCCAGGTCACATGTTACTTAAGGTCTTCCTGTCTTTGGGTATCTCTCGATAGCTTCCTTTCTACTCACCGCTTCCACTTGTTTGAAAACTCTATAGAAGTTTCTGTAAGCGACGTTCTCCAGCTCTGCCTCTGACCAGCCTCTTCGGAGCAGCTCGGCGAATAACAGAGGGTAGCTCGACACGTCAGCCATCTCTCCGTTCACCCTGGAGGTACAACACATCAACGCCGTAGTGGGTGGGGATAACGCCCCTTCGTACAATACTTCCACAAGATGACTACATCCCCAGTGTGTATACCGAGTTAGAACTGATCCCGGACAACCTATGAGGAAGCTGAATGCATCGACTAGCAAGAGTGGTGACTTGGGTCTTTGCGTGTCATCGTAACCTTGAAAACATGCTCATAATATCAATTACTGGTTTGTCTGGTTCAGTCTCGATTGTTTGTATATCGCCGTTGATGTGTTGATACCGAGTGGATGATATCGTGCATCTTGTTGGTTCATCAATATGTAATTAATATGACTAGGAGTTTTACCAAATACGCCGTATAAGTACATATAAATAAATATGGGTATTCCGGGTAAGAACATAGGCCCACAGCAAACTAAAAGGCGACTAAATGGATCGGAGGCTAGTCTCGTTATTTGTCATCGTATTCTGGAATATTGCTGACTTTACGGACCCGTGAAGAATCCGGGGTAGAATAGGTCTTCAGCAACCCACACTTGCCATAAAAGGCGACTATGCTTGTCGTAAAAGGCGACTAACGGGATTGCGTGGATCGATGCTCATGATGTCAATCACTGGATTGTCTGGTCCAGACTCGATTATTTACAGACCGCCGTCATATAGCTGGAATATTGCTGAGTGCGGCGTTAAACAACCAACCAACCAACCAACCAACCAACCAACCAACCAACGTTTAACAACGATCACATAAATGTATGAGTACATGTACATTACACAACACTTACCCAGAGCCGTCAAAGTCACAGCCAATACCAAGGTACTGTGAGCCTATAAGCTTGCGGAAATGGTCATAGTGATCTGAAAATTTAATATCACACTGAAACCAAAAGCACCTTAACAGCGGAACTGTTGACTTGCCTTTGCATGTGTTTGTGACGAGTACCAACGGCGGGGCGGAATACGCTCACCTTCTCGCGAGTAGCTCGTATAATCACTATTTAATAGTGATTCATAATAAACACATGCTTATGGCATAGTCGGTGTTGTACAATGTACATTGCTTTTACCAGAGACTTTTTATGATTATGGAAAGGGTTTTATTAAATATGTCAGGAAAAGTCATCGATATTAGTTGATGTAGATAATAACAAATATCAGAACAGAAAATACCTTGCTACATGTGTTAGAAACTGAACAGAAACGTTGTGCTTATGTTAGTAAAGGAGTTTTCATTTCATCCATTTTATCTTAAGAACTTCTTAAATATTTCCAAAGATACACGACAACGTATCTCAGATACGATTCGTCTTATGACGCATACTAGTCATGGTAACTATAAAACAACATATAACTGAATCATTTGTGACATAAATATAATAATTTCAATCATTACAATTATTTGGCTCATTATTGGCTTAAAAATACAAAATATTGTCCGAATTAATTATTTGCATTCATCTCGCATGTTTAAAAACACACCCCAATATCTCTTTTTAAAACAAATATCTATCCACGCTTGTTTCCTATGGTTTATATCAACGTACATAGAGAACGAGAGTGAGTTTCACGGAGATATTGCTGTTATTTTACGTCACATCAACGATATTGTAGATATATACTGAACATGTGACCCGTGAAGATCCCGGTAGAGAATAGGTCTTCAGAAACTCATGCTTGCCGTAAGAGGCGTCTATACTTGTCGTAAGAGGTGACTATACTTGTCATAGGAGACGACTAGCGGGATCGCTGACTGGGTTGATGCACGCCATCGTATCCCAATTGCGTGTATCGATGCTCATGATGTCAGTCACTGGATTGTCTGATCCAGATTTGATTATTTACAGACTGCCGTCATACTACTGGAATATGGACTTAAAAACAAACAAAACTGAACTTGGTATGAATTAAATCTTAAAAAAACTTGCCTCCTTATTATATTTGCTGGTTTACTGGTGTACATGTATTTCTTACAACCTTAGGTCATTGGTCAACATATAATTACAATTATAGCCTAATTTTTATTATCAATTCTTGTAAGACAATTGCGTCGGTAGGATGAAACAGAAATTACTACAAATTCTTTAATTATCATTTGGAATTTTGGGTGAACTGTTACAATTTTCACAGTCTTCATGAACGGAATTCCAAGCCGCTGTTGTAGGGGCTTAGAGAAACATGAGTTTAAGTTCGTCAGTTCGTACCTGCGACTTGGGCTACGGAGGCGGTTCTGTTGTCATCTCCATGCCTGTCCTCCGTGGTACAGTTGATGAATCGAGGATACACGTTGATCATAATGATTCCGTTGTTGGCGGCCTGAAACAGTAACACAGTGTCCAAGCATAACGATAACTTGATTAATAACAGTGTTAGAACCTACACCGAAACGTCGCTCTTAATTGTAATAAAGAAGTTGTTTATCCATAAATTCTTAACCTTACTTAGTACCCCAACTTCTAAATGCCTATCAAAGAAGTGATACAATACCTTCTTTCTCAATAAACTGTTGAATAAATTTCTAAATATATACTCTTCAAAAAAAAAGAAACTTGACACTGACTTTCAAAACCATAATTGAAACACTGTTTGAAGATCAATGTACACAATGTTCAAAACATTAATCGTGTCACCTAGACAGACACACGTACACGATACAGTTAATGTCACAGGGGTACAGAAAATGTCAGTATCGGTTGTGCCCACCACGTGCATCAATCACCGCTTGACACCGACGACCCATAGATGCAATCAATTTGTCAATAACACGCTGTTGGATGTGCTGCCATTCATGCTGAAGTGCATCAAGAAGCGCCGGAACTGTTTGGGGCGGTGGATTCCTTCTGCGAACACGTCGATCCAACTCGTCCCACAGATGCTCAATCGGGGAAAAATCTGGTGACCGGGCTGGCCAAGGTAATGTCTGGATGTTGTTGTGCTGTAAGAAGTCCTGACAAACACGTGCAGTCTGCGGTCGAGCGTTGTCCTGCTGGAACTGTCCGCCATGAACGTTGACGTGAGGAAGAACGTAAGGCTGAAGGATCAAGTCTTTGTAACGCACACCTGTCAATGCACCTGCCACATGCACGAGAGGCGTCCTACCACCGTGATTAATTCCGGCCCATACCATGACAATCCCGCCGCCAAATGGGACAACCTGCTGCACACAGTTGGGGGCGTAACGTTCACCCCGACGTCTGTAGACACGCGCGCGCCCATCAGCACGTGTGAGTAGGAAACGGGACTCGTCAGTAAACAGTACATTTCTCCACCTTGCACGTGCCCATCTAACCTTCTGTTGGCACCAAAGCAGACGGTCCGCCAGATGACGTGGGGTCAATACATGACGTCGAACAGGTCTTCGTGCAAAAAGTCCAGCCTCCCTCAGTCTGTTGCGTACCGTTTGATCTGATATTCTGCGTACCCCAGGGATCTGTGTGGTTGTAGACGTGGCTGTGGTAGTGCGGTCTCGGAGGTGTCGCAGCCGGATGTATCGATCTTGTGTTTTGGGTTGTCACCCTTGGTCTTCCTGACCTTGGTCTGTCGTCAACTTTGTTGGTGTTGTTGTATCGGGTCCACAGTGCGGAGATTGTCTGTCTGGATACGCCAAAGTGCCTGGCCACTTCTTGCTGAGTTGCTCAAGCTTGTAATCTCCCAATGGCGTTGTTCCGTTGAGCTGCATTCAGTCTTGGCATTCTGTCACCGCCTCTACTGCCGTTATAAGGACTGTATGAACAGCCGTTGATGTGGATTTTTATACACATTCAGCAGGGGGGCCTGCATGCCTAAATGTAGGATCCTGTTCTGCACGTTTTTTACAGGCGGTTGCGTTTGGATGAAGCTGTAAAATTGATCCCCAAACAGTACGTTTATGTTTTGCATGTGTTTTCGCGAATTATAGACACATCATCTTTCTGTTTGACTTATTTGGTTCTCATTTAATGTAATTATTTTAGATATTTGGCAAAAAGTTGTTTTACATCTATGTCAAGTTTCTTTTTTTGAAGAGTGATATAACGTATTAAACATCCATTATTTTAGAAATGACATGATATGATGAAGAGGTTGTTACCATTGTGTGTTTCCGTATCGTAAGTATCATATATTAGGAATATAAACCAAATATTATAATCGCCAAAGACTCGCATAATGAAAAAAATATTTCTAATATATATCTACGATACAGAAACTCTCGTCTGATAATCTCTATATGTGGTGTCCTGACAATCCTGGAAACATATTCAGGGCGAACCGGGATTCGAACCCACAAAGTCATAGGTTTCTTGCGTGCCCAAGGGGCGCAACTCTGCACAGCAAATTGCGGGGCCTTAGACGACTGGGCCTACCGTGCCCCCGTATAGCTATGATACCATTACAGTTTTTCACCTTTCTCACACACGAAGTTATCAACAGTTGAATCTAATCTTATGAGAATCTCCACGTGGCTTTATTGCACGAGGTAACCCGACATCAAGTCACTATCTTCATGGTTTAAATATCTAAATTTTCAGTGAACGGACGTTTTGCATATCTATTCTGTTAAAAAAATAAAATAAATTTGTTTCCCACAAGGGGCGGTCGGGTAGCCTTGTGGTAAAAGCGTTCGCTCGTCACGCCGAAGACCCGGGTTCGATTAGCGACATGGGTACAATGTGTGAAGCCCACTAACAGACTGCTCGACTTTCGGATCTTAAAGAGAATTTTTCGCAATAACATTGTAATTCTGCACGTTTTGGTTTGCGATTGTGCATTAATGATTGCCTGTATGTTGAACCAATAACATGTGGGTATAGTCGTTGATGATAAAGTAATTAGCCAATAATATCTTTGACCCGTCTTGACCCGGCCCGATGCGACTTTTAGGTAATCCCTCACGTAGATA